CTCTATATAGTGTGTGTTCTGCTGTATATTGCTCTATATAGTGTGTGTTCTGCTGTATATTGCTCTATATAGTGTGTGTTCTGCTGTATATTGCTCTATATAGTGTGTGTTCTGCTGTATATTGCTCTATATAGTGTGTGTGCTGCTGTATTGTGCTCTATATAGTGTGTGTTCTGCTGTATTGTGCTCTATATAGTGTGTGTTCTGCTGTATATTGCTCTATATAGTGTGTGTTCTGCTGTATTGTGCTCTATATAGTGTGTGTTCTGCTGTATATTGCTCTATATAGTGTGTGTTCTGCTGTATATTGCTCTATATAGTGTGTGTTCTGCTGTATATTGCTCTATATAGTGTGTGTTCTGCTGTATATTGCTCTATATAGTGTGTGTTCTGCTGTATTGTGCTCTATATAGTGTGTGTTCTGCTGTATATTGCTCTATATAGTGTGTGTTCTGCTGTATATTGCTCTATATAGTGTGTGCTCTGCTGTATATTGCTCTATATAGTGTGTGTTCTGCTGTATATTGCTCTATATAGTGTGTGTTCTGCTGTATATTGCTCTATATAGTGTGTGCTCTGCTGTATATTGCTCTATATAGTGTGTGTTCTGCTGTATATTGCTCTATATAGTGTGTGTTCTGCTGTATATTGCTCTATATAGTGTGTGTTCTGCTGTATATTGCTCTATATAGTGTGTGTTCTGCTGTATATTGCTCTATATAGTGTGTGTGCTGCTGTATTGTGCTCTATTTAGTGTGTGTTCTGCTGTATTGTGCTCTATATAGTGTGTGTTCTGCTGTATATTGCTCTATATAGTGTGTGTTCTGCTGTATATTGCTCTATATAGTGTGTGTTCTAGTGTATATTGCTCTATATAGTGTGTGTTCTGCTGTATTGTGCTCTATATAGTGTGTGTTCTGCTGTATTGTGCTCTATATAGTGTGTGTTCTGCTGTATTGTGCTCTATATAGTGTGTGTTCTGCTGTATTGTGCTCTATATAGTGTGTTCTGCTGTATTGTGCTCTATATAGTGTGTGTTCTGCTGTATATTGCTCTATATAGTGTGTGTTCTGCTGTATATTGCTCTATATAGTGTGTGTTCTGCTGTATATTGCTCTATATAGTGTGTGTTCTGCTGTATATTGCTCTATATAGTGTGTGTTCTGCTGTATATTGCTCTATATAGTGTGTGTTCTGCTGTATATTGCTCTATATGGCGTGTTCTGCTGTATATTGCTCTATATAGTGTGTGTTCTGCTGTATATTGCTCTATATAGTGTGTGTTCTGCTGTATATTGCTCTATATGGCGTGTTCTGCTGTATATTGCTCTATATAGTGTGTGTTCTGCTGTATATTGCTCTATATAGTGTGTGTTCTGCTGTATATTGCTCTATATAGTGTGTGTTCTGCTGTATATTGCTCTATATAGTGTGTGTTCTGCTGTATTGTGCTCTATATAGTGTGTGTTCTGCTGTATTGTGCTCTATATAGCGTGTTCTGCTGTATATTGCTCTATATAGTGTGTGTTCTGCTGTATATTGCTCTATATAGTGTGTGTGCTGCTGTATTGTGCTCTATTTAGTGTGTGTGTGTGTGTGTGTGTGTGTGTGTGTGTGTGTGTGTGTGTGTGTGTGTGTGTGTGTGTGTGTGTGTGTGTGTGTGTGTGTGTGTTGTGCAGAAACGCTGCTGCAGTAGTGAACGGGCTCCGGAATAAACGCCCGCGTGTGTAAACCTGAACTGAAACGCGGATGTTCAGTTTATTCAGTTAAACAGGATCAGAGTAAAAGTCTCACTCACCTCTATTAATTAAAACAGTTATAACACGGCTAATATTCAGGTTTATCCGGATCAATAAACGCGTCCCGCGGCGAGCGCCATCTTTCCTGAAATGAGCGGAAAAACACTTTTACACGCGCGTCACTTCCGCCTACAGGACTCTTATTATTTAAATCAATTACTCGCATCTTCAAAACAAAAGTCTGCTTTAGGTTCAGTTCTGCTGCTGCTCTGACAAACACAATAATGTGTAAATAAAATAAACTGAAAAGAAAACGCGAGAAGAAGCGTGTATATTCAGAGTTATGGCTGATTTTCGGTTTGAAAGTTCTTCAAGAGTTTTAACACATGATTAAATCAGCTTTATAATGGCAGATATCGACTGTCTGTTTACATCTGGGAATGGAAAATCCTATCCGAGAATATTACATCTTTTAACAATAAAGGTGACTCTAATACATGTCTTTCTCACCACAGTAAAATACATTATAATAAGTATAATATATTCACAGCTTTTTCCTCTTATATCCATTTGAGAGCCACTGAATATAAATGTACATTAAGCCTTCCACATCAGTCAATCACATGTAGAATACATGATGAAGACGCACAGCAGTGTCCACATGTCCTCAAACACACTCAGCACTGGAGAGATCCGCGCGGTCTCTGTACCGCCTGCTCATGATGAATCTTGTGTATTAATGTAAGATATAGTTCACTCCTTTTATCTGTCACACTATATTGATTACTGAGTGCAGATCAATATCACTGATATTCTCATAATCTGATAATCTGTTACTACAGAAGTTTAAAAGCTAGTTAGTTTTAAAGGTAATTAAACCGAGCACTTTCCTCCCTCCATCATTACACAAGATATTGAAATGGAAACAGCGATGTGACACTGAATATATCTGAGTCAGAGTGTTGATGAAGGATTTGGTCATATGTAAGGCTTCAGCAGGAGACAGAGCCTCAGTGTCAGACCAGTGTCAGGTTTATTCTTCAGGTTCAACATGAGGCTGGACATTAGATCTGCCTGACTGATCTGTATATGAGCACCAGGATGAGAAGCTCCGTCTCTGATCAAAACACTGTCAGATCCAGTGAGAGGAATTAATATCTTCATCTGAATGGATGTCTGATGATCTGATAAAGTTTGCTCCTCAACCGGGTCCCCACAAGGATGTGTTCTTTCACCTTTGTTCTGCATCCTTTACACACACATGTGCCAGAGCAGGTGAGAAACAGAACCATGATCCAGTATGCAGATGATCAAGTATGCAGATGATCCAGTATGCAGATGATCAAGTATGCAGATGATCAAGTATGCAGATGATCAAGTATGCAGATGATCAAGTATGCAGATGATCAAGTATGCAGATGATCAAGTATGCAGATGATCAAGTATGCAGATGATCAAGTATGCAGATGATCCAGTATGCAGATGATCAAGTATGCAGATGATCAAGTATGCAGATGATCCAGTATGCAGATGATCAAGTATGCAGATGATCAAGTATGCAGATGATCAAGTATGCAGATGATCAAGTATGCAGATGATCAAGTATGCAGATGATCAAGTATGCAGATGATCAAGTATGCAGATGATCAAGTATGCAGATGATCAAGTATGCAGATGATCAAGTATGCAGATGACTCTGTCAACTCCATGATGATGAAGCCGGTCATGGTCCAGTGCTCACTGACTTTGTCAGATGGTGTGATGTTTTAAAGACAAAAGAAATGATCATTGATTTTAGGAAGGCTGCTTACACACAGGTGAGCACTTCCATTAAAGATCAGACTGTGGAAAGTGTGCAATCATACAATGCCTTGCACAATTATTGACTCTACACTTTCCTGTGATGAGAACTGTAGCAGTGTGTAAAAAGGGCCACCAGCGACTATTTAGCTTGAGAAAGATCAGTCATCAGTCAAGCTTCTGAAGAAATTAACCACACACGCCACTGAATCACTTTACTTTCAATTAAATCTTTTTTTAGTCGCACATGCGAGCGAAATGGTGACACCGTTGAGCCCTGCAACTGAGACACACGACACCAACAACAATCCAAACATGACTGATGCAGAGCTCTACACACCCGCAGCACATCTCCAGCTGAACAACACATGGTGGACAGCAGCTCACCTCCTTCAGGTACATCACCAGCTCCACTGCACTGTAGAGGATACCGCTGGCTGTCGCTGAGGAGGAGGCGCTGCCCTGTCTGCTGCAGGAGCTCTGCGCTGTAGTCAGAGTCTTCCTCTTTCGGGAAGTGATTGCCACATTAGTGAAGGCAGGTGAAGCGCTTTCTTCAGTGTACAGCTGACAGAGTTCTCCTGATTCAGAGATGTGTTGATCCTCTCACTGTTCATCTGCTGTTCATCATGTTACAGGTTTACACTCTGCTTTAATGTCAATAACCTGATGTCAGCACTCTCACACTTCACTGCAGGCTTTATCTCAATATTCACACACACACACACACACACACACGCGCACACACACACACGCTCAGTACTCTGTATATTCCGCTCTGGGCACTTCTGTAAATATAATCGGATCTACAGTCCTGTAAAGGTGATGAAGCTGTCGGTGATGGAGGAGCTGTTAACTGCAGAGCTGCTCTATAACACACCTGAACAACACCTGCTGGAGGAGATCAGACCCCCGCCAGGTGAGGAGGAGGAACACAGCACTGATACACACCACATCACTGACCAGAAGAGGAGCTCAGGACACAACTGCAGTCTGTTAATGGAGGAACCCAACACTGTAGTGCACTACTGACAGAACAGCTCTCCACAGCACTGTGTGTGTGTGTGTGTGTGTGTGTGGTTCTAGAAGGGAATGGGCCCATAGTAGGTTTTATAGGCGGTGATGATTCCAGACGTGTCCATCATGTGCTCACAGGCCACATTTGTCTCACACACCTCTCTGAGACTGAAACACACACAAAGAACACACAAGGGTGATAAAGTCAGTGTCAGTGTTTTGTGTGTGTGTGTGTGTGTGTGTGTGTGTGTGTGTGTGTGTGTGTGTGTGTACCTCTCGAGCTGAAATGGAGTCAGGTCTCCAGGTGCAGTTCCAGCCCTCTTCTGTCTCATGATGATAGAGGCCACGTCACGCTTCACAAACACACCTGTGCAGAGTCACACACACACACACACACACACACAAGCATGTGTTGGTTTAAAAGATTTCTATAAGATTTCTAATCTAGTCTAAATCACGGCTGAATTTGGGCTGTCAGTGAAAGTCTAATGGACGTTTAACCGTCGTCCAACACTTCCTTTAGACGGTGAATAGCCGGCGAGGTTTGGTGTAGGATAAATCACGGCTGAATTTGGCCTGTCAGTGACAGCACAAGCATTAACAAGTCATCAACACTTCAGCTCATCAATGACTGATTATACATTTAACACACACACACACATAGCCATCCACACACTAAAGCTCCACTGTCCGGTCACAGGTTGTGAGTTTGTTGCTAAGTATTTTTCAGAGCTGTTTCCACCTATGAATTTATATTAGAAACAATAGAAAAGTTTGTTGTCATGAGATTTTAAAGTAGATAAATAATAATTATAACAATAAAAGATTGGATCCTTTGGATTTTCGGTGTTGCCTACTTTATTATTTTTTAATAATTATTTAAAACTTTTTTTAAATAATTGAGAACTGACAGTTTGTGCCTGTGTTTGATAAACATGTTTCCATCTACATCTCTATCTATTTGTTCTTTTCATATGCTAATTTTTTAATTATTAAAAAAATAAGATAATTTTTTTGTGTTTTTGCTGTTCAGTTTTTTTATGCATGGTTCGCATTGAGGAGAGAGTAACACATTTCACTGCTGCACTTTCTGTGTGTGTGTGTGTGTGTGTGTGTGTGTGTGTGTGTGTGTGTGTGTGTGTATGTGTGTGTGCATGTGTGTTTTTTTTATTGCATATGTGATTGTGATAAATGTTGGAAGTTGCTTTAAAAGTATGTTTTATAGCAGGGGTGCTCAGTCCTGTTCCTGGAGATCTACCTTCCTGCAGATTTCAGTTGCTACCCATATCAAACACACCTGAACAAATTAATTAGGACCTGAACACCACGTGATAATTACAGGCAGGTGTGTTTGATATGGGTTGCAGCTGAAATCTGCAGGAAGGTAGATCTCCAGGAACAGGTTTGAGCACCCCTGCTGTATACCATGGGGGTCAAACTCCAAGTTCCTGGAGAACTGCAGCGCAGCAGAGTTTAGTACCCACCCTGCTTCAACATTACCTGTAGATTTCTAACAAGCCTTAATTAGTTTGATCAGGTGTGTTTAATTAGAGTTACAGCTTAAAGTCCCGGTCACACTGCACTTTTCTCCCTATAGACTTCCATTCATACGCATGTGAGTACTGCAGATCTGGAATGATAGCTCATGAGACACATTTCATAATTCGCAGCATTGGAAAGTTCAAGCTTGGAGAACGCTGACATGCGAAATAACATCATGTGATTGCTTGAGACTAATCAAAGATCAAACCATGACCTCTCTGAACAAAAATTATGGACCAGTTGCTTGCTTCTTCAATCTCTAATTATTTAGTTTAATCCCACTCCTTTTCGCAGTGCAGTATGACAGAATTTTGCATGCTTAAACGTTAGTGACCGCAGTCTTACTGTGCAGACCTGTGGCTCTCAGTAATATGTAAGAGGATATTTATATCTACTGATTTCTTAATGTTGTTATACATTTTCTGTTGTATATTTGTTTGCTGCCAAAACAATAAAATACATTTGTCAGAATGTTTATGTCTTCTATTTTTAATAACAGGTAAGAATACTAATTAATTTTAGTAACACCTTGACATACTATTAAAGTGTATGCAGTATAATGCTGTGAGTTGTAACACTACAGTACAGTAATTAACTTAAACAGTTTCCAGTTAGTTACCACTGCTGCTCTATTACAGTAATTCACTGGCAACACTGTTACCAGCTACTTACTGTAACTAAACTTTTAGTGAGTAGCTGACAACAGTGTTGCCAGTGTTCTACTGTAAAAAAGCCTGGTGAGGTCTAACAGAGTATCATGCACACCGTAAACTTTATTTAGCAAACAAACTACATGCGGCCACATTTCAGCTTATTGGGGCTCAAATTGGGTCACATGTAGCCGGACTACATCTGCTCTATACTAAACCTAGACGCTGGAATGACACCTAGTGCTTACTGGGAGAAGACACACACACACACACACACACACACACAGTTACTAAACAAATGCAGACACACTCTCACACACACACACACACACACACACACAGTCACTAAACAAATGCAGACACACACACAGAGACACACTCACACACACACACACACACACACACACACACACACAGTCACTAAACAAATGCACACACACACACACACACACACACAGTCACTAAACAAATGCAGACACACACTCAGAGACACACTCACACACACACACAAACACACACTGCACGCGTCTCACCTTCATGATTAGGAGATTCTGCAGCACTCAATAGTTTAGTATCTGAGGAGTCAGGAAGACCTGCAGAGAGGAACACAGAGAATAGTCACACACACACACTGACCTGCGCTCAGACACACACACACTCACCTGCACTCAGATAAACACACACACGCAAGCACACTGACCTGCGCTCAGACACACACACACACACATACATGCACACTGACCTGCGCTCAGACACACAGTCATCAGGCAGCAGAAGATCAGGACTGTCAGGCTCTTCATATTCGCTTCTGTGTCAGCTGATCTGTGTGTGTGTGCAAGTGTGTGTGTGTGTGCATTTATATATCAGTGACATGGCAGTGAGCGGACAACCTGATTGGCTGGGGAATCAAATATCTGCACACACACACACACACACACACACACACACACACACACACACACACACACACACACACACACACACACACACACACAGAGTGAGGTTATAGTAGTTCTGGGTTTGTCTCAGCTGGATGTCGTGTGGGGTTTGTTGTTGTCAGACTCTGTGTGGTCAGAGTGAGTGTTTATTAGTTTCACTCTTACATTTAGCTTTTTGTTTGTTGTTTTTTTGTTTAAATAAGTATATTTGTTAGGTCGACACATTGGTGTTTCTGTGTGGAGTTTGCATGTTCTCCCCGTGTTGGTGTGGGTTTCCTCCGGGTGCTCCGGTTTCCCCCACAGTCCAAACAAATGCGCTATAGGGGAACTGATCAACTACACTGGCCGTAGTGTAAATGAGTGTGTGTGTGTGTGTGTGAATAAGTGTGTATGGGTGTTTCCCAATACTGGCTTGCAGATAGAAGGTCATCCACTCCGGAATAGTTGTCAGTTCATTCCACTGTGGTGACCCCTAATGAATAAGGGACTAAACTGAAGGAGAATGAATGAATTTCTAAGGTGGAAGATTTAAGTGAAGTTTCTCAAACTAATTTCGAGAGGAGCATGTGATAGGATTAACTACAGCTGATCCCTGTCACTGATCACTAACTAGCCAATTGGATCACTCTAAATTCAATATAAATATCCAGCCTAAACTTCATTCCTCATCTTCGTTTTTGAACCCCCCCCCCACCCCAAATCCATCCCTTCTCCCTCCTCCTCAGTTTGGGTGACACAGCGGCTCGGTGGCTAGCACTGTTGCCCCACACCAAGGAGGTCATTGGTTCAACACTAGCTGAGCCAACCAATACTCTCTGTGCGGAGTTTGCATGTTCTCCCCGTGTTCGCGTGGGTTTTCCCCGGGTACTCTGGTTTCCTCCCACACTCAAAAACTATGCAACAAAAGTTAAAGTCACGAGCACTTACTACAAACTAGGGCAACTAGTGATCTATTTTGGGAAGCTATCATGAACTACCTGATCTCATATGCCTCCAAATGCTTATTGACCAGGCGGGAGCCTTGGGCTCATCTATCACCGAGCTCAGGGTTCTCTCCCGGGACAGCATGCCAAACTATCTTAAATAGTCAAGCATTATCTAAGTGTGAACTCTTGAAAACGTTCAGAGTAAATGCTGCGTGATAAAACTCCAGCATACACTGTCTGAAACCTGCTCAGAGCACAGAGGAACTCTGCCATCCACATCCTCAAACTCAGATACAGCAGCCCACAGCACAGCAGGCCTACGTGCAGGAAGTGTGCACGGCTCCTGCTCGGTTCAGTCAGTAAATCAGCATACTATCATCTCAAAAACATAGCAAGAATCAGATGCTTTGTTTCTAGTGAAGATTTAGAGAAACTTTTTCATGCTTTTATCAGCAGCAGGGTGGATTACTGTAATGGACTCCTCACTGGTCTTCCTAAAAAGACAGTCAGACAGTTGCAGCTCATCCAGAACGCTGCAGCCAGAATTCTGACCAGAAGCAGGAAATCAGAGCACATCACTCCTGTCCTCAGGTCTCTACACTGGCTGCCAGTTACATTCAGAATAGAGTTTAAAGTATTATTACTGCTCTAAAAAGCACTAAATTGACTAGGACCTCGATACATTACAGATATGATTACTGGACACACACCTAACAGATCACTCAGATCTTGAGGATCATATAAACTAGAAACTCCAAGAGTTCATTCAGAGCAGGGTGAGTCTGAATTCAGCTACTAACAGCGCCCCCCGCTGCTAGATTCAGCTTCCAGAAATGATCAGATGTGCTCCAACATTAGGCATGTTCACATCAAGACTGAAAACACATCTGTTTAGCTGTGCCTTTACTGAATGAGCACTGTGCTGCGTCCGACAAATTGCACTATCATGTTTTTCATTTTCTTCTTCATTCTTTTATCACATTTGAACTGTTTTTGTGTTCTTTTTTACTCATTTTTATTATTTGTTTTTATTTTTATTTTACTTGTTTCTTTTATTCTTGTTTATGTAAAGCACTTTAAATTGCCACTGTGTATGAAATGTGCTATATAAATAAACTTGCCTTGCCTTGCCTATAATAACCTACTCTCTCACACACACACACACACACACACACACACACACACACACACTAAACACACACACACACACACTAAACAAACAAAATAGAGAGACAATGTGTGTCTTTGGTGTGACACTCACACACACAAACACACAATCGGTACAGTGTTAGGGTGCGAGCGGCTCATATAAGCAGTGTAATTACAGGAGCAGAATTACCTGCGCCATGCCGCACACACACACACACACACACACACATATTCTCTGTCTCTCCGTCTCGCTTCTATTTATTCTGTTCTGTTGGACGCTTGGTGTGTAATTTACCATCTGAGAAGCAAAAAGCGATGCAGTGTCCAGCACACACACACACACAAACACACACACACACACACACACACACACACACACACACACACTCCAGAAGTGGCGACGGAAGTAAACCGCACATTCACGAATCCAGCGCAGCAGCCAGACCCACAGCCAGTGTGTGTGTGCAAGAATGTGCATCTGTGTGTGTGTGTGTGTGTGTGTGTGTGTGGTGTGTGTGTGTGTGTGTGTGTGTGTGTGTGTGTGTGGATCATGACTCTGTTGATGTCTCTCCATGGGTCTCTAATGTGAACTCTGGCAGATTGAGGGTCTGCGTGGACTTAAGGTCAGAGCAGTAATCCTGGATCAGCATCCTCCGCCGTCGACTGAAGAGCGAACAGCTCATGATCATGGCTCGACATTTCCTCCACCTCCAGCAAGGCTCTCTTCGGGTTCATCTTCACCAGATAGCAGACATCATGATTAGACACGTAACATGGAGAAGTGTTTGTTTGCAGTAGCAGAGGTTGAGGCCTTTCCCCACTGCACCCCAATATCGAGGCTGCTCTTCAGGTGCCAGAGCCCTCATCTGCTGCAGAAGTTGCTTGGTATCAGGGGATGGCCACATACCGTCTGTGTTTCTCACCTCAGTAATGATCTCACACCCTCTCCAGCTGCTCACAGAGGATGCTCCATGGCCCGGTGTGCAGTTTGTTCTGAGGCAGTGCGCACACTCAATGAACTGCTGACCAGCCCTGTGTCCTGGCACACTTCAGTCTTTACTGCCCCTTAACTGTCACCTGCTGCTATTCTTACACAAGTAGTACTGGACAAAAGTACTCAGGGTTTGTACCCTTCGAACCAACCATCTTCATCTGGGTCTGGTCACAAACCCCTGCGCAGGTTCTGGACTGGCCACCTCCAGCAGTATGACCTCACAGTACAATACGCCTCAGGCAGAGTTCATGTGTTGGCGGATACTCTGTGTCACCTGTCCGCTTGCAGAAGATTCAACGTCTGTGTCCCTGGAGGAACTCACGGAGGAATCTGCTGCTGATTCTGCTGTCGGTGAATATGTCTTGAATGGTCGTACGCCGCGGAGTTAAACATGAACTGTCATGCGGGAACAGCAGATGCTTGGCCTGTGGACAGTGGGCCAATATCCCCATCAATCTCAGAGGACGAGTGCTGGCCATGGTGCATGAAGGCCACCTCGGCATGGTCAAACTAAAGCAGCGCTGCCGGGATCTTGTATGTTGGCCAGGATTGTATAAGAACATCCAGTAGCTTGTTTGGGACTGTGTTCCAGGTCTTATGAGTGGGTAAACAGGCCCACCAATTGCGCCGCTACTAGAGACTTTGGCTTGGCAAACTTGACCATGGGACAGCATTCAACTAGATATCAGTGGAGGACTGCATGATCTGCCTCGCCGCTCAGGTTTCCTTGTGTCAGTTCATGATCTACAGTCAAAGTGGCCTGAGGTTACTGATGGGCTCTGTCACATCCAGTTCTATTACTGACATTCTGGAGTTGGATTTTGCCCGCTGGGTCTGCCTTGAGGACAGACAATGGCCCTCTAGTGTCTGCTGAGTTTGACAGCTATATTCAAGGCAAAGGTATCAGACACATCCAAGCATCTTACTATCACCCGCGGTCAAATGAGGGCGTAGAGAGAGTTAATCTGACTCTAAAAGATGGTCTGAGAGTCCACATGGCACATGGATGCTCTATCAGTGAAGCCTTGAGCCAGACTCTGTTCAGCAGCTCGGCACGCCAGCACTCGGGCGTCACCAGCTGATCTGATGCTGGGGCGAGAGCTAAAGCTACCCTTGCACAGGCTTTGCCCTCCTACTGCTCACAGTGTAAACCCTGTACAACAGCTGAAAGCACAGCGCAGATTTAAGACATGAAAAAATCCCGGAAAAAGCCACACCGGAAAAGCAGACGACATGTTTTCTGGTCACAGCCTGAAAGATTATGTGCATTTTAGTTCAGTTGCATTTACATTGATTAAACTCTGATGTGATATGATGGGTTGACCTGTGCCTCAACCCCCACAAACTGATAGGTGTGAACTAAATGACCCTTTTACAATCTCAATGGGTATTAGCAAAACAACAGCTGAAACATCTGAAGAGGGTCCTGCTGAGCCTCGTAAACAGAATGGTTTGTTTGATGCTAGTATAAAGTACTGTCTCACAGACAGTACTTTGGGTTAAGTTACTTGAAGACCGACGGGTTAACATCACTGCTGAGGAACTGCACTATTGATTGTCTTCAATAAAGTCTTCTGTCCGTAAGAACTTTGGTCAGTTTACTTATTTTATGTATTAGAGTAATCTAATACATTGGCGAGCCACCCAAGAACGGTTAAGCCAAATACAGCAAAATCTAACAATTGCAGGTACATAAGCAGTGGGGTCCAGTTACACTTAGGCTAACAGATGGTTATGGCATAGAGCTGAGTAGGTGCAGTGTCCTCCTAGTGCGGTTCACAGCAGGGTCCTCCCTCGCTCCCCGCTCAGCTCTTCATGCCTCTGGCACAGCATCCAGTGAGTCTGCGAGCGACATCCTCACCACCAGGACCGGCCTGTTAGATTACACATCCGGCCTGCCCACTTCCAGGACTAGCCAACATCCTCTCACACTCAGTTCACCGGGGGCCAGGAGAGTGCTGCATGTTTAGGTAGTCTTATAATCGGGGTTTCATTAGAGTAATGTGTTCATCACACAGTAACACTTCCACAGCGCAGGTCAGTTCAGGATCAGGGAACGAGTAGGAGTGAGGAGTGTGTCAGAGCGAGAGAGGAGTGTGTGACAGGACAGGTAATCTCAACAACACAGTATAAATCATTCAAAGTACGCAACACAGGCTCATGGTGAAAGCGTGGCCCTGTACATGTTTCTGGACATGGTGAAGGGTGTAGTCAGAGGTGTGTATGGCTGCATTTCAGTTTTAAACAAACACTACGGGGCGCTGTGACGACGTTCCTTTTCTTTTACTATGAGCTTACCTCCGTATGAGCGGCTGTCCTGCTGTTACCAGTATGTCCAGTTAGCTCAACATGTACGTCAGTGGACTTGAGACACAGAGAGGAGTTGAGCATGACGACAGGGTTCGAGTCTGGTCAAGAACGGTTCCAGAAAGCGGGTAAGACAAAACCATTCAGTCATTTTCTTGTCGGCTTAGTCCCTTTATTAATCCAGGGTCACCACAGCGGAATGAACCGCCAACTTATCCAGCAAGTTTTTACGCAGCGGATGCCCTTTCAACCGCAACCCATCTCTGGGAAACATCCACACACACATTCACACACACACTCATACACTATGACAATTTAGCCAACCCAATTCACCTGTACCGCATGTGTTTGGACTGTGGGGGAAACCGGAGCACCCGGAGGAAACCCACGCGAATGCAGGGAGAACATGCAAACTCCACTCCTGCCAAATGAGCCAAGGCTTGAACCAGCGACCTTCTTGCTGTGAGGCGACAGCACTACCTACTGCGCCACTGCGTCGCCCTAAGACAAAAGCAGAAGCCAAAAAATAAAATAAAGAAGCAAATAACGGAGAGAATGTGGTCAGACACGGTGAAACTCAGACGAGGGCTTTTCTTTATCTGGATTGCTTTTTCAATTTGTCAGTGGACAGCGCCCTCTGGTGGATACACGAAAACAAAACCTGAAAAAACATGTAGCTCCTGGGACAGACTTGACGCTCTCCAGAAGTGTATATAGAGGTACGTTTTCAGAATAAACCTGGGATGAAAATACGCATTGTCTTTATGGATACAACATCTGTGTGTGTGTGTGTGTGTGTGTGTGTGTGTGTGTGTGTGTGTGTGTGTGTCTGTGTGTGTGTGTGTGTCTGTGAGTATGTGTTTACAGAGTTAAGCATCACACCACACACAATAATCTGAATAAATGCTGTGCAGCACACGTCTCCATCATGAAGCGTGTCCAGGGTTTATTGAGAGCTCCTCATGTTCAGCAAATCCTCTACAAGCAGAAGAGCTGTGAGCAGAACTGATGATGATGTACAGGTGTCTATGAGAGCTGCTGGTGTTCAGAGAGCAGATGCAGGATCAGTGTCATTCACACACACACACACACACACACACACACACACACACACACACACACACACACACACACACACACACACACTAATATATGAGGAGAGCTGGCTGCTGGTATGTAAATGAGGAGGCGGGGCTCAGTATCTGCGCAGCTGCTGATTGGCCCTGAGCTGCTGCGGGCTGAAGAAGGTCTGATAGGCCACCTGAGAACCGTAGCGCAGCGCAAACACACGACACGGAGAGAAGTCCTCACACACCTCCGCACGCCGCTCAGCTGGAGACTTCATCCTGGAGCACACACACACACACACACACACACACACACACAGAGTGAGAGAGAGCGAGAGAGAGAGAGAGTATGAGAACTACACACTACTTCATAGACATGCAGGTACACACACATACACACAACACTATGTGCAGGAGTGTGTGTGTGTGTGTGTGTGTGTGTGTGTGTGTGTGTGTGTGTGTGTGTGTGTGTGTGTGTGTTTGTGTGTTTGTGTCTATATCTGGGGGAGACCAAAATAAGAACAAAAATGGTAATTATATGTAAGTGTGTGTGTGTGTGTGTGTGTGTGTGTGTGTGTTTGTTTTTATTACATGGTGGGGACCTCAGCATGATAGCACACTCACAAAGTGGGGACCAAAAACATAGTGGGGACCGATCGCCCGGTCCCCACTATGTTTTGCCTTTAAAAGACTCAGGGGGCGTTGCTGATATGCCTAGTGCAGTTTTTTTCACTGATCCCCACCTTGACCATTTACCTGAATTGAGTGTGTAAGTGTGTGTCGGCGCACTGCTCTATAGCGGTCCTGTAGTCGGATGGCGGTACTGCACCCTGACACACACTTGACGCAGTTCACACACTCTGCCTACTGCACATGCGCAATCTCATAAATGAATCCGACTTTAATCAACTTAATTAAGATCTATCATCAAATTTTTCGAATTTTTGGGTAAGTTAGAATGTTTTTCACCATCATACTGTAATAAAATAGGTTATATGACAAATACTTATGTTGCATATTTTGACAGTTATCAGGTATAGTTAATTAAATGTTTTAACGAATTTCCTGGGTGTTTTAATCGATGTTGTTTCAAATTACGTATTAATACAACACTGATAAGACACAAACTACAGTTCGGTATGTAATTTAACTTGTTTACACGAGTAAAAGTTTCTCGCGCTAATGTGCTAACGTGCTAACTGCCCGGTGCTACGTGAGTCAGAGGCCGGGGTGGAGTGCATGAGCCGCGGTCAGACAGTCACCAATCACCGGGCGGCTAAATGGATCGACGGAGGATAAAACCATTAAAAGATGCGGAGAAACACATCACCAGCTCCACTGACAAGACCCATTCACTGGAAACCGAATATATAGAAGGTTACTAAGGTATGTTTTCATAGTTCTTGTATCGTACTTTTTAAATGGTTAATTGCTTTAAACATTTAACGTTAATCCTGAAATAACACTATTATATACTATTTATACGTTAATGTAATAATATAGAGGTTATAATTAAAATGTGGGGCTATCTGGTCCTAGAAATGTACTTAATTTATAGTTCTATGACGTGTAGAAACGTTTTATTTTAGATAAATAATTATAATAAACTCCAACTTAGTGTAAAACATATATAAAAGTACATAATTGTTCACTGTGTGTGTTTTATTTATTTATTTGCTGTCAACTGGTAGCCTTTTACAATAAGGGTAAATTAGTTAATGCTGGTTAATGCATTTACTAACATGAACAATGAATAATACTTTATTATAGTATTTGTTCATGTTTGTTAACTTTAGTTAATGAAAATAAAGTTGTTCATTACTAGTTGAACACGCACAATGCATTAATTATTGCAATGCATTATTACTGGTACAAGCATGAATTTAGATTTGAATGATGCATTAGTAAATGTTAAACTATGATTAATAAATGCTGTACATGCATTGTTCATTACTAGGTCATGTTAGTAAGTACATTAACTAATAAAACCTGATTGTAAAGTGTGACCTGTAAACAATTGAAGTGGAAAAAAAGTTCTTTAAAACTGTCCTAAGAAAGAAGAACAGGTGTTCAATAGTATTAGAACAACATTGTTGAAAGGTTCTGATCCACTTCAAAAGGTTTACTGTATTTATAATTCACACACAGAGAGGATGCTAATGTGAGGTTTTTGTATTTTTTGAACCCTACACATTAAATCTTTTAGGTCAGAGTTTGCGTTGTCCACATTTATTAAAGGAAGTTTTGTGGTTGAGTACAAATGATAGAGCTTGTGGAAGCAAAGCATAGATTAGATATTAATAAAAATACTCTCTTTATGTTTGACTTTATATGGTAAAACAAGAACAGGTGGTTAAGTGTTTTCCCCATTCAAATGTACATGTATATATTATATTCATTCTGTTTGTATTCATGCCATAGTTTAGCTTTTTATTGCTATGAGAGGGCATAATTAAAATGTTGCTTGCTCTTTTCTCTTAGTTTTGCAGCATTGATGCCGATCATGAGGACGATCTGCACCCTAACTGCACTGTCAATAAGATCGTTGTTCAGAGAAAACCTCATTTGTGCCTTTTTGCAATCAGGGATATTTTCTTTGGAGAGGAAATAACGTTTGACTATGGCACATGTGATTGGCCTTGGAGAAAGGTTTGACATTTTGATCACTTAATACATTAATCCTTAATACATTCAGCAAAGCTAAGAGTTTTTTAATGTTAATATAGATTAAGGGTAAATCTGTTCAAAAATAAAGAGTTTGCATCATCCATAAGAGATAATGAAATCAATCTCTTAATATCTTCTTCTTGTCTTAATGGGTAAAAAAGTTTAATTAATTGGGTAATGCTTTACTTTAAAGGGGGGTTCATAAGACTGTCATGAAAGCTTTATAGTCATGACATGACTTATATAACAAAGCTGTTTTTAAATAGCTTTCATTGAAGGATGCCCATATGACTGCAGAAGAGAACTGCTCCGACAACTCTCTGATGAGGTATGTTTATTAGTATTATTATTATTATTAGTAGTAGTAGTAGTAGTAGTAGATGTTGTTGCTGTAGTAGTGCATTTAATTGTAATTATTTAACTTAGTGTGTGTCCTAATTTATGAACATATGCAATAGTGTAACATTGTGGGGACCAGAGGCATGTTAGAGAAGCTGTGAAACACACTTAGTCCTCAATACACACACAGTACGGTCTGACATAGTGGGGACCAGGAGCCCTGAGTACTACTGTCTAATTATTATTTTTTGTTTTTTATATTTAGCTTTCATTGAAGTATGATCATATGACGAGAAGAAGAGAACTGCTCTGCTCCAGTAGGAGACCCACAACCCTCTGATGAGGTGTGTTTAAATTTAATAATAATAATAATTATTATTATTAGTAGTAGTAGAAGTAGTAGTAGTTGTTGTTGTTGTAGTAGTAGTGCATTTAATTATAATTATTTAACTTAATCAAAATCTAGAAATGAAACAGAGTGTGTGTCCTAATTGGTGAACGTATGCAATAGTGTAACATTGTGGGGACCAGAGGCATGTTAGAGAAGCTGGGAAACACACTTAGTCCTGAATACACACACAGTACGGTCTGACATAGTGGGGACCGGAACCCTTGAGTACTGCTGTCTAACTAATATATTTTTTTTTATTTTCAGCTTATATTGAAGGATGACCATATGACAGAGGAAGAGAACTGCTCTGCTCCAGTACGTGACCCACAACTCTGATGAGGTGTGTTTAATGTTGTTGTTATTATTATTATTAGTAGTAGTAGTAGTAGTAGTAGTTGTTGTAGTAGTAGTGCATTTAATTGTAATTATTTATCTTAATCAAAATCTAGAAATGAAACAGAGTGTGTGTCCTAATTGGTGAACCCATGCACTAGTGTAACATTGTGGGGACCAGAGGCATGTTAGAGAAGCTGGGAAACACACTTAGTCCTAAATACACACACAGTACGGTCTGACATAGTGGGGACCGGAACCCTTGAGTACTGCTGTCTAACTAATATATATATATTTTTATATTCAGGTTTGCTGAAGTATGACCGTATGACAGAAGGAGAGAACAGCTCTGCTCCAGTACGAGACCCACAACTCTGATGAGGTGTGTTTATTAATATTGTTGTTGTTGTTGTTGTTGTTGTTGTTATTATTATTATTATTATTATTATTATTATTACTAGTTGTTGTAGTAGTAGTAGTAGTTGTTGTTTTAGTAGTGGTGCATATAATTGTAATTATTTAACTTAATCAAAATATAGAAATGAAACAGAGTGTGTGTCCTAATTGGTGAACATATGCACTGACATTGTGGGGACCAGAGGCATGTTAGAGAAGCTGTAAAACACACTTAGTCCTCAATACACACACAGTAAGGTCTGACATAGTGGGGACCGCGACCCTTGAGTACTGCTGTCTAACTAATATATATATTTTTTTATTTTCAGCTTATATTGAAGGATGACCATATGACAGGGGAAGAGAACTGCTCTGCTCCAGTACGAGACTCACAACTCTCTGATGAGGTGTGTTTAATGTTGTTGTTATTATTTTTATTATTAGTAGTAGTAGTAGTAGTTGTAGTAGTTGTTCTTGTAGTAGTAGTAGTGCATTTAATTGTAATTATTTAACTTAATGAAAATCTAGAAATGAAACAGAGTGTGTGTCCTAATTTTTGAATGTATGCACTAGTGTAACATTGTGGGGACCAGAGGCATGTTAGAGAAGCTGTGAAACACACTTAGTCCTGAATACACACAGTAATGTCTGACGTAGTGGAGACCGGGACCCTTAAGTACTACTGTCTAACTAAAATATATATATATATATATATATATATATATATATATATATATATATATATATATATATATATATATATATATATTTTTTTTTTTTTTTTCAGCTTTTATTGAAGGATGACCATATGACAGAGGAAGAGAACTGCTCTACTCCAGTAGGAGACCCACAACTCTGATGAGGTGTGTTTATAATAATAATAATAACAATTATTTTTATTATTATTATTATTATAATTATTATTATTAGTTGTAGTAGTGATAGTAGTTGTTGTTGTAGTAGTGGTGTATTTAATTATAATTATTTAACTTAATCAAAATATAGAAATGAAACAGAGTGTGTGTCCTAATTGGTGAACATATGCACTGACATTGTGGGGACCAGAGGCATGTTAGAGAAGCTGTAAAACACACTTAGTCCTGAATACACACACAGTAAGGTCTGACATAGTGGGGACCGCGACCCTTGAGTACTGCTGTCTAACTAATATATATATTTTTTTATTTTCAGCTTATATTGAAGGATGACCATATGACAGGGGAAGAGAACTGCTCTGCTCCAGTACGAGACTCACAACTCTCTGATGAGGTGTGTTTAATGTTGTTGTTATTATTTTTATTATTAGTAGTAGTAGTAGTAGTTGTAGTAGTTGTTCTTGTAGTAGTAGTAGTGCATTTAATTGTAATTATTTAACTTAATGAAAATCTAGAAATGAAACAGAGTGTGTGTCCTAATTTTTGAATGTATGCACTAGTGTAACATTGTGGGGACCAGAGGCATGTTAGAGAAGCTGTGAAACACACTTAGTCCTGAATACACACAGTAATGTCTGACGTAGTGGAGACCGGGACCCTTAAGTACTACTGTCTAACTAAAATATATATATATATATATATATATATATATATATATATATATATATATATATATATATATATATATATATATATATATATATATATATATTTTTTTTTTTTTTTTTTTTCAGCTTTTATTGAAGGATGACCATATGACAGAGGAAGAGAACTGCTCTACTCCAGTAGGAGACCCACAACTCTGATGAGGTGTGTTTATAATAATAATAATAACAATTATTTTTATTATTATTATTATTATAATTATTATTATTAGTTGTAGTAGTGATAGTAGTTGTTGTTGTAGTAGTGGTGTATTTAATTATAATTATTTAACTTAATCAAAATATAGAAATGAAACAGAGTGTGTGTCCTAATTGGTGAACATATGCACTGACATTGTGGGGACCAGAGGCATGTTAGAGAAGCTGTAAAACACACTTAGTCCTGAATACACACACAGTAAGGTCTGACATAGTGGGGACCGGGACCCTTGAGTACTACTGTCTAACTAATATATATTTTTTAATTTTTTTTATTCAGCTTTGATTGAAGGATGACCATGTGACAGAGGAAGAGAACTGCTCTACTCCAGTACGTGACCCACAACTCTCTGATGAGGTGTGTTTAATGTTGTTGTTATTATTTTTATTAGTAGTAGTAGTTGTAGTAGTTGTTGTTGTAGTAGTAGTGCATTTAATTGTAATTATTTAACTTAATCAAAATATATAAATGAAACAGAGTGTGTGTCCTAATGTATGAATGTATGCACTAGTGTAACATTGTGGGGACCAGAGGCATGTTAGAGAAACTGTGAAACACACTTAGTCCTGAATACACACAGTAAGGTCTGACATAGTGGGGACCGGGACCCTTTAGTACTGCTGTCTAACTAATATATATATATATATATATATATATATATATATATATATTTTTTTTTATTCAGCTTTTATTGAAGGATGGAAGGATGACCATATGACAGAGGAAGAGAACTGCTCTGCTCCAGTAGGAGACCCACAACTCTGATGAGGTGTGTTTAAATTTAATAATAATAACAATTATTATTATTATTATTATTATTAATATTATTAGTTGTAGTAGTAATAGTAGTTGTTGTTGTAGTAGTGGTGTATTTAATTGTAATTATTTAACTTAATCAAAATATAGAAATGAAACAGAGTGTGTGTCCTAATTGGTGAACATATGCACTGACATTGTGGGGACCAGAGGCATGTTAGAGAAGCTGTGAAACACACTTAGTCCTGAATACACACACAGTACGGTCTGACATAGTGGGGACCGCGACCCTTGAGTACTGCTGTCTAACTAATATATATTTTTTTATATTCAGCTTATATTGATGGATGACCATATGACAGGGGAAGAGAACTGCTCTGCTCCAGCACGTGACTCACAACTCTGTTATTGCATATCAGATTTAACGAACCGTTTACTACGGATTTCATGTCATTTTGATAACTGTGCATTAATCAGATGTCATCACGCTGCTGTGCCGTCAGCCAATCGTTGTATTGCTGATAATGATTTTGAGGATCGATAGATCTGTCACAACACACAGTCACAACACCTCTCAGATCAGTTTAATCTGATTCGCAAACTTTTTTGAAGAACCAAATTAGCCTAAGATGAGTTATCAAGATTAAAAGATCCAGGATCTGTAATATAATCTTAGATTATTTAAGCGAGGTCCGAAGAACAGACCCCTGGACCCTTGAGTACTACTGTCTAAATTATATTTTTCAAAATAAAAATTATAAATTATATATAAAAATATATAAAATAATTTTTTATAAAATATTTATAAAATTATATATAAAATATATATTTTTAATTATATACAGTTGAAGTCAGAATTATTAGCCCCCTTGTTTATTTCTTGTACCAAATTTCTGTTTAATGGAAAGCAGATTTTTAAAACACATTTCTAATCATAACAGTGTTAATAACTCATCTCTAATAACTGATTTATTTTCTCTTTGCCATGATGACAGTAAAAATTATTTGACTAGATATTTTTCAAGACACTTCTATACAGCTTAAAGTGACATTTAAAGGCTTCACTAAGTTAATTAGGGTAACTAGGCAAGTTATTGGAGGGATAATAATATTGACCTTAAAATGGTTCATAAAAAATTAAAACTGCTTTTATTCTAGCTGAAATAAAACAAATAAGACTTTCTCCAGAAGAAAAAAATATTATCAGACATACTATGAAAAAATTCCCTGCTCTGTTACACATCATTTGGGAAATATTTGTAAAAAAGTTTTAAAAAGGTGGGCTGACTTCAACTGTATATACTTTCTTTCATATATATATATATATATATATATATATATATATATATATATATATATATATATATATATATATATATATATATATATATATATATATATATATACAGTTGAAGTATTAATTATTATATAACAGAGCAAGGAAATTTTCAGTGTGTCTGATAAAATTTTTTTCTTCTGGAGAAAGTCTTATTTGTTTTATTTTGACTAGAATAAAAACAGTTTACATTTTTTTAAACACCGTTAAGGGACAAAATTATTAGCCTCTTTAAGCTATATTTTTTTCTCGATAATCTACAGAACAAACCATCGTTATACAATAACTTGACTAATTACCCTAACCTGCCTAGTTAACCTAATTACCCTAGTGAAGCCTTTAAATTTCACTTTAAGCTGTATAGAAGTGTCTTAAAGAATATCTAGTCTAATATTATTTACTGTCGTCATGGCAAAGAGAAAATAAGTCCATTATTAGAAATGATTATTAGAAATAGTTATTAAAACTATTATGTTTAGAAATGTGTTGAAAAAAATCTTCTCTCCGTTAAACAGAAATTGGGGAAATAATAAACAAGCTGTCTAATAATTCAGGGGGGCTAATAATTCTGACTTCAACTGTATATAAAGAGTTTCATTGCAGAACGAGATATATCCATTTAAAAAAATGTTGGTAATTTTGACATTATTTTTCAGGACATCAACAGTCAAGTTCATTCACAATTTCTGTACATTAAACTATAACTTGAGCTCAGTGAAGGCCAGGAACACATTTTTTTCAAATCCAGGATATTTTTTATTTAATTTTATGTCTATAATTAAGTAAAAAAAACATGCCAAAATGCTACATATTAATCCAACCCACATTGTCAAACATGGAATAATATATGCAAAGATTGATTAATAATAATAAGATTCTAAGTTAGATTTGGCCAGAATGTACACAACATAACATAACATAACTTTTTTTTTTTTTTTTGCAAAACGCTACATCCACCTTAGGCTATATTATACTACATTAATACCATTACCAAAAGCTAATGAATCAATGTTTTGTTTGATAAGTAAGATTAAGTTAGTTAGATAAATGACCTTTAGCTTGGTACAGAAAGAGTGGGGGGCGGCTCCTTCCACACCGCTGCAGAAAACCAAACCTGTATGATTAGAGCGGGCGGAGCTGAGTCCGTGACACAAACTTGCCTCGCTATGTCATATTTAATGAATTATTTCACTGTAATAATAATAATAGCTTATTTATTTGGTTGTGAAAAAGCTAAACCGTTTTCTCCATAACAACATGTGCCCTTTAAGTTCCTTTATAATAAATCAACAACAACAAGAATTAATTTTAAATAATAGGTGCAACCACATAAATAAATCTTCAGATAGGCTACTCAGCTACATTTAAGAAATTATTTAAAAAATAAACTTATAAGGGACACTTGCAGACAGGTATCTTGTGATGGGGAGTAGGAAAAAAGGCGCTCCTAGGCCTTCTCTTGACATCAGCGGAGACTCGTTCCCTGCTGCATTTGTGTATTGTTGACGCAGAAGTATCTTATTCTGGTCCACTTTTGTGGCCTTTTTATTATTTTTTTTGTGAAATTGAAGACTTCATCTTCTATCGCTAAATCAATGAGCAAACTCTGAGCACTTCACCGGCGATGACTCTCTTCCCAGGGGATGCTGAGCTCGCGCCGCATCCTGAACGCTCTCTAACTGTTATATCTTACTTTGTAAAGAAACTGGTCTGACGGATATTGCGTTTTGTAAAAAAAAAATATGTTTTGTACTTGGCCTAAAATGTGCATTCTTAAATGTTATTAATGGCAGCAATTCACACATAGATTAAGGTACATCTGAACAGTGATTTCCAATAATAAAATCCAAATGTCAAAAAATGCAGTTTATCGCATTTTGCAACCTAACTCTTCATATGTATTTGTGTGTTATGACTGTATGACTGCAGAAGAGAACTGCTCTGTTCCCACAACTCAGTTTTTCTGGGACTTGAAAATAGACGCTCAGAAGATTTTAAAGGGTGGAATCTTGATCAAATCATGGGTTTACACACAAACATGTAATACAGTGCCAGATTTTCTGGATGTTATATACACATTTGTATTTGCAAACATATATCATATTGTTTTAAATGATGTATTTTTGTGTGGGTTTTTACATTCAGAGAAAGTTACAGTGGATCTTGATTTTGGAGGAGGTGAAGTCCAATCTAAAAGGTAAAAATATTATTTATTTTTCTGATCAGAATTTTTCTTTTTTCTATTTTTATCATGATATGTATGTGCTGTGTTTGAAAACTATTTTTAAGCTACCATCACACGCTTTTACCCATTAAAAAGAACAACACAAAATCAAATAAATATTTTGGTAAGCTTTATGCAGAGAAGTCAACTCTCAGACTTGATTTTTACTTTCAGAGTCCACTCAAGTATCATCACCATGGTACAGTGTCTGTGAAGATAGTGATGCAGACCCAGCATTCACAAAAAAAGAGAGGTATGATCATTAAAGTTAATTTGTGACTGACTTGTGTTATTGTACAAGTCCAAATGCACAAGCTCATTTACATAACATGTAGGGTTAAACAGGACAGAAGCACATTACTTCTATGATGATTTCAGTACAGTTGCACTTGATGTCTCATTTCATGTTAGTTAAACAATATTGCTAAATACTTTGGAAAAATATACTAATTGCATATCTGGTTACACTTTATTTTGATAATTTACTTTACTACTACTACTACTAACTACAAGTAACTGCAACTACTTGTCAACTAACAGCCATTAGACTGTCTGTTAGAATCAACACTGCTAATGCTCTACTAAATTTATTTAAGAGTTAGTCATATTGTACTAATTTTGAGCCTAACTTAGTCTGCTGTACTATTTACTGAGACCAATGAGAGTCAGTTTTATTGAGGTAACCTTAACTGTCAGCTAATACTCTACACTCTAAAATTAATAAAAATAAGTAATAATAATTAAATTAGCAGTTTTTCATAATTTGTTTTTATGAAATCTGTTTGTTTCTGCTTTTGAATTGCATTATGGGATCTTGAACTTTCTTCCAACAACTTTTAATCTTAAAAAGTAAAAAAAAGTGACTTTTTGTTTGGGTTGTTGTTGTATATTATGCTACAGAAACCTTGTAATAAACTGCCGGTACATTTTCTGTTATTCTAAAGACTTATTTATCTCTATATATTATTTCTTATACATTACATTATTTCAAACTACTAAAATGTCAGTAAAAGTCACTTTGTTAAACTGTAGAGTTGAATTTTCAACATCAAAAGTGCACAGAGCAGAGATCAACATCCCATAATGCAATTCACCACCACACACAAAAAAAAACACTTCATCAGATGAGCGTTAGTCTTATTGAACATTCTAACAGTATGCAAATACTCTAATACATAATACTTTACGGTGAGATAATTAACGTAGTTGCAGAGTTACGCATAGTTAGAAGAATGTCTAAACTGGACTATGGAAAAAAGTGTAACCACATTAACCAGTTTTGGAGTTATTAGGAAGTATTTTTTAATCCATCTCCATCTTAAGTATTTTTAATAATAGGCAAGACATATTTTTCTAGCATTTTCTATCACAATATTAAACTAACATAACAGCACATGTTGTAAAAATGACTGAACATTTATGCAACTAAAACCACTTTTTTTATATTTTAACCACCCATAGGTCCCATAAAGAGAAGATCCTGGAGCAAACAGGAAGTACATGCTGTGGTGAAAGCTGAACCATTGGCTCTAAAAACCAGAGATTGGTCAGCTTTGGATTTTTATATTAAAAACTGAATCTCGACTCTTTAGAAAAAAAAAAAAATCTGAATAACACTTTCATAGTAACTACACACTATACATCATTAGTTTAGCACTAACTCTACATTAATAGACTTTAGGAAGCAGTTTATAAATACAGCTTCAAACGTTGTATTCTTGACTTGACTTAATTGTATTTTCATGCTTTGTTACTGATTCATTTTTCATTACTTCATTATGTATTGCATTATTTACAAACTATTTGTATATAAGAGTAGTTGGTGGTTTTTAAGATAATTCAGAATGAGTTATTAAATGATTAATAAACTATTCAAATGAACATTTATACATGTTATATTCAGGCATATAGTAATTGTAACCATGTGTGTTAGTAAATGCTATAATAACACAACTTCATGCAGTTTTGTGACCTAAGGACTGTTTATAGTTGATAAATCCCTTATAAATGTCAATTTAAGGCTCAGTATCTAATGAACAATAAATCGTTGCAATCTTATTAAAAAAATTCTGTAAAGTTTAAACATTATAAAATAAAAATACAACATCATTTCAAAACAACACAATTAACAATATGGCAATATTCATTTCAGTGTTTCTGTGATGTTTGCACTGTACAGTAATTTTATGTTTTGATAAGATTGCTAAGATTTATTTTTCATTAGATAGTTTCATTTGTGTATCTTGAAATTAATGGAAAAAAAAAAAAAAATATATATATATATATATATATATATATATATCTTCTTTGGCCTTAGTCCCATATGATTGCGGGGTCAGCTCTTTTTGGAACAAGTCCTCCAGTTTTAGACTTGTCCATATGATAAAGACTTTTTTTACACCTTCCGGCCAGCCTGTCATATGGGCGTGTCACACTCATACACTAGGGACACTTTAGCCTTCCCAATTCACCTTTAGCATGTCTTTGGACTGTGCCTTTGCACCCGGAGGAAACCCACACGAATGCAGGGAGAACATGCAAACTTCTCACAGAAATGCCAACTGCCTACCGCGCCACTGCTTCACCATATATATATAAAGCTATAAATCACCCTGCCTTTTAATTTATTTATTTTTTCTGTTTAGAATATAGCTGAGATTTTAATTGTCATTTATAAGGGATTTATAAAGCATCAATAGTCCTCACTTTACATTAGCTCACAAAACTGCATGAAGTTGAGTTCATAAAGCATTTATTATTAGAAAGAGTAACCATTACTATATGCCTGATTAATAAGATATATAAATGTTGGGTAACACTATAATAACTGCACACAATGAATTATTTATGAAACATTAGCAAATAGTTAGTTGAGCGTTTGTTAAGCATTAACGCTACATTAATAGACATTAGTAAGCAGTTTATAAATTATATTTATAAATATAAATTACAAATATTATTGACTTATAAGCACAATTATAATGTGCTTAATGATTGTTTTCATACTTGGTAAATAATGCAATACTTAATTTAGTAATGAAAAGTACATCATTAACAAACCAGATATTTAAAAGTAGTTGGTGTTTTTTTTAGATAATTCAGAATGTGCAAGTAAATGATTAATAAAATATTCAAAATAATATTGATAATTCTTATTATTCAGGCATATAATAAGTTGTTTAGTATGTTAATAAATGCTTTATGAACTCAACTTCATGCAGTTTTGTGATCTAATCTAAAGCGAGGACTATTCATGCTTTATAAATCCATTATAAATGACAATATAAGGCTCAGTTACATTATATAGAGGAAAAAATGACTATTAATTTCTACTTATTACAAGATGCTCAAATGAAACTGTATCAAATGAAAAGTAAATCATTGCAATCTTGTCTAAATATAAAATTGCTTTACACGTAATGTATTGTTAAATTATTATATTGTTGTTTTATCAAATGATGTTGTATTTCGACACTCCTGTTATTCAGCAATGTTTAAAATTTACAGTAATTGTATTTGTTTAGGTACGATTGCAAATACTTATTGTTTATTTGATACTGAGCCTGGCAACGCAGTGGCGCAGTAGGTAGTGCTGTCACCTCACAGCAAGAAGGTCGCTGGTTCGAGCCCTGGCTGGGTCAGTTGGCGTTTCTGTGTAAAGTTTGCATGTTCTCCCTGTGTTGGTGTGGGTTTCCTCCAGGTGCTCCTACATGCGGTACAGGTGAATTGGGTAGCCTAAAATGGTCCGTAGTAAATGAGCGTGAATGAGTGTGTATGTGTATGGATGTGTCCCAGGGATGGGTTGCAGCTGGAAGGGCATCCGCTGCATAAAAACGTGCTGGATAAGTTGGTGGTTCAATCCGCTGTTGCGACCCCGGATTAATAAAGAGAGAAAACCAAAATGAAAATAAATGAATAAATGAATGATTCTGAGCCTTTAATTGTCATTTATAAGGGATGTATAAAGCATCAATATTCCTCACTTTAGATTAGATCACAAAACTGCATGTTGAGTTCATAAAGCATTATTTAACATGCAGAAAAACATATTATATGCAGGGCTCCAAACCGGTTCAAGGAACAGAAATGAAAAACAGAATCAAATGACATTTTTCAGGAACAGAAACGAAAACCGAAAAAAAAAGATCAACTTTAATCGTTCTGAACAGAAACGTTTACAGTTAAACGGTTAATAATGTTATTTTATTGTTCTTTTTATTATATGAATTTGGGAGACAAAAAGCATTAATTTAAAGCATGTGAACAAATGCAACGGTGACGCTCGTTTTTATATAAACTATAAATGTCTGGCCGTGATGCGTATTTAGGCCTATGCCAGTCTATAAAAAAATAATGTAGCTTAAAACACTTTAAAATTTTAGAGAACGTAATACAGTTTGCACAACCAATGTTTGGTCTTAATAACCTGCCCATAATTAAACGTCATGTAGCCTACTTTTTGATTACTTGACCAGCGGATTAATGGCAGCACCAGTGGATAAACGAGATCTGAGCATAACAGGTATGACTAGTGTGTGCATAACCAATATGCAAAGTCAAGAGAGTGCACGACTCCATAGGGTAACGTAGCCTAAACTGCGCACACTTGATTATGTAATGTGTGAAATCGTGAACGCATCTCAAAGAGCAAAGCATAACTTATTAAATGCCCATGCTTAATCGGTCATCGATAAGGTCTATCGGTTTTAAAGGGTTACCGACAATAAATCAATCGAGTGATCGTTAGCATCCCTAGTTTAATCAATGAATGTGTTAAATTTAATATTTATATTAAAGATGAATAAGGCAAGAATATGATAATGATACTTTTTAGATTTTTACACCTACAAAAATATCTTGTGGTAGTGCACTTGTTTAATAAAAATCTTTGTAAATAGGTTATCTGTAAAAAACGCAATTAGAGCTAATGACATGTAGAAGTAGTGTTGCCTAAACGGCTATTAAATTTCTAATAAAATTAAAACCAAAGTATAACTCATTGCATTTTTCGTTTGATAAAAATTTACAGAAACGAAATAAAATCATAAGGATGCTAGTTTGTAATTTATGATAATAATAATAAAATGACATGCTTAGACTATAAGCTTAACGGCTATACGCTGCCAAAAGGCCATTAATAAATATTATTTTACTTTGTACTGGATTATAATGTATATTTTACTATAAAAACTAAATATAGCATGTCTTACTGTCATTTAAAACAAGTAATTCAAAATACACATCAGAACTGTAGACCTGCAGTGGGTAAACTGTATACAGGGGGTGTTGGTCAATCAATAGCCTACAGCACATAATTGAACTAATTATGATGCTAACTGTAATTTAGCTTTTAATATAGGCCTACGATATATTTTCTGGTGTTTGATTTTGCATGAGCAAATAGCAGTATAGCCTAAAGTAAATTTTTTTAAAAGATTATCATTTACCCTACCTGCAGCACATGTGAGAGGTGGATCTGCAGCAAATTCACTTACACACTAGGCTATATCTATTTAATTTATAACAATGTAAACTTGACTTCGCAGGCCGTTCATCTTTGAACACAAAAGGCATTTTTAAGTGTCCTAACTTGACTGCTGCTGCATAATGGGATGTTTCTTTACAAAACTGTAAAAGTGCGCTTTAGCATGTCAAAATGAAAGCAAACGTTCAAAAGAGTTCTGTGTTTTGTCAATTTTACTAATATTAATAATAATGGATATAATAAATTTAAATAATAATTGCACTGTGCAGTGTACTAAATATTTTTATTAGGCTACATAACTGAAAAACTATTTCATAACAATTTTCATAATTTTTATTGCTATTTCATATTATACAACATCTAAATGTAGCGCCGGGCCTGCGCTCGATACCAAGGAGTGTGGCTGTGTGTAGCACCTTTAAACAGCGTGTCAATCAATAACCAAAAGCAAGTTCATATTATAAATATGTCTTATTATAATGATACTTATTGAAAATTCATTTAATCTTACCCCTCGTATAGATTTTTTAGTTGCACCATTAAAAAAACAGAGCACTCTAGAGTCCTGCAATACTTTGTAATTAAATAAAGTTTTTTTTTGTTTTTTTCTAGAAAACTGTTTTCGGAATATTTTGTCTATTAAGCAACGCAAGAACAGAACCGAAAAAATATAAATTCTGCTTAGAGTGAACCGATTGGATTTTCTTTTTTTTCTTTTTTTTCTTTTTTTAGCCCTGATTATATGCCTGAATAGTAAATGTATAAATTTACTCATTCTTAATGATCCTAAAAACACCAATTATTCTTAGACAGTTTGTAAATAATGCAATACTTCATTTAGTAATGAAAAATGAAGCTAGCTGTGTTTATAAACTGCTTACTATTAATGTAGAGTTAATGCTTAACAAATGATGTCTATTTGGAGTTTTGGTTGCTTGGTTATATGATGAAGGTCTCTGTGCATTTGTGGGGTTCAGTTCTTTATAAATATATTTTTAAATATTTTTAATGTTTTTTTTTCAAATAGTTAAAATACGACAGAAACAGAAATAGAACATACTGGTGGGTTTTAAGAGTTTACCCAAAAATGTACATTATATTATTAATTACTTGCCCTCATCTCACTCTAACCCCCTGAGACCTTCATTCATCTTCAGACTCAAAGGAAGATAACTTAGATGAAGTGCAAGAACTCCTCATCCTCCATAGACAGCAAGGGATTGAAACAATATGAAGGAGAAGAATTAATAACAGAATCTTCATTTTGGGGTGAACTAACCGTTTAATATTGTTTGCTATTGCACTTAACTAAATGTGTATGCAGACATGGAAGAGTTATGTGGAAGCTTGTTATACCCAATGAGAACTGCTTTTAGACATGCAAGAGAGTTTCATGGATTTTGTGTTTACTGTTTTTTGTGTTTAAAGGTTTTGTGGAAATTATTTATAATAAATATAACATTTATTAAATTTATTCTGGACCATTTCCTGTTTGGATCTTGAGGTTCCTTCTGTATTCAAATTACATATTTTATAAACTGACCTGCTCTTCAAATGAAAATTCTAAAGCAGTTTACTGTCAAATTACTTGATTGAGGTTTAAAATTTAATATTAGTAAGGGTGCTGATCTGATCCCCATGTTGCCTAAAAACCGGTAATGTGTGTGTAGATCTGGTCCTTACTTTGACTCAAAACCAGTGATGTGTGTGTAGATCTGGTCCTTACTTTGACTCAATACCAGTAATGTGTGTGTAGACCTGGTCCTTACTTTGATTCAATACCGGTAATGTGTGTGTAGATCTGGTCCTTACTTTGACTCAATACCAGTAATGTGTGTGTAGACCTGGTCCTTACTTTGACTCAATACCGGTAATGTGTGTGTAGACCTGGTCCTTACTTTGACTCAATACCGGTAATGTGTGTGTAGACCTGGTCCTTACTTTGACTCAATACCGGTAATGTGTGTGTAGATCTGGTCCTTACTTTGACTCAATACCGGTAATGTGTGTGTAGATCTGGTCCTTACTTTGACTCAATACCAGTAATGTGTGTGTAGATCCGGTCCTTACTTTGACTCAATACCGGTAATGTGTGTGTAGATCTGGTCCTTACTTTGACTCAATACCAGTAATGTGTGTGTAGATCCGGTCCTTACTTTGACTCAATACCGGTAATGTGTGTGTAGATCTGGTCCCTACTTTGACTCAATACCAGTAATGTGTGTGTAGATCCGGTCCCTACTTTGACTCAATACCAGTAATGTGTGTGTAGACCTGGTCCCTACTTTGACTCAATACCGGTAATGTGTATCTGGAACTGGTCCTTACTTTGTCTCAAAACCAGTAAAGTGTGTGTAGAATTGGTCCCCACTTTGTCTAAAAATCGGTTGTGTATGTGGCGGACCCCACTTCTACACAAAACCTGAAATGTCCCCACAAGTGACCACTGTGTCAGGTCTAAAAAAAAATTTGCGGAATATGCAAAATCTGAAGTGATTTTATGAAATAGTTTGTGTTTTTGTGTGGCAAACTATTTTTTTTATGTCTCTAACATCATCAGAAAGGGTGGTCCCCATTACGTAACCACCGTGACAGGTGACCCCCACAATGCACAAAAACAAGTATGTGTGTGTGTGTGTGTGTGTGTGTGTGTTTTGGATGTATTAAAGCATTCTTTTAAACCAGCTGTATATAAAAACTGATGCCAGTGGAATGCCTTTATTTAAAGAGTGTGTGTGTGTGTGTGTGTGTGCGTGTGTGTGTGTGTGTGTATGTGTGTGTGGGTGTGGGCGTGTGCGTGTACCTTCGGTAGATGTAGGGGTTGTGTTGTGTGTTCCTCATGAAGGCGTTGGCCTGATATGGGTTCACAAACACTGCACAAACACACACACACACACACACACACACACAACCCCACACAAACACACACACACGAGAGTGAATGTTAAACAACTCCAGCTGATTTTAGAGACAGAACAGCAGAAAATGAGCCTCATATGACCTTAGTACACACACACACACACACACACACACACACACACACACACACACTCTGCGGTCTGCAGACCAACAACTGAAGCCAAATCCAGCAGAGCACTCACCCTCCAATGACTCGCGGCTCTCCTGAGAGTCTGCAGAGAGACACACACACACAACGGTTACTGTTGTTACAACGGTTATATGCATGTGTGTGTGTGTGTGTGTGTGTGTGTGTGTGTGTATGTGTGTGTGTGTGTGTATGTGTGTATGTGTGTTGAGTTGAGTTGACAATGTCATACAGACCATAAGCTGCAGCAGCACCAAGAGCCAGAACAACACACAGAAACACACACTGAGGAGACACACACATGACTGCAGGAGCACTGTCTGAAACACACACACACACACACACACACAGTAAGTGAAACACACTGGAGGCTGATGAATGGTTACAACACACACAGACATACAACACACACACAGACATAAAACACACACACAGACATAAAA